GAGCCCAGGAGTTGGAGGTTGCTGTGAGCTGTAATGCCACGGCACTCTACCCAGGGGGACAGCTTGAGGCTCTGTCTCAAAAAAAAAAAAAAGTATAGAATGAAAAATTCAAATGGGACCAGCAGATATTTAGTTTTTAGCTGCACCCTTCCTGAGAGTTAAAGGTGTCTTCTATGCAAATTATTTCACTTTCTACCTTCTACTAATAATTCTTCCAAGAAACCTTCTTAAAACATTGGTAGGAATGGGAGCAGGGAGGGAGGAATAGAGCCGAGCCTTTCTGCCTGGTCTTGGGGACAGGGCAGCTCATAGATAATGTGGTATCCATTGGGGCTTTATTAGGAACTTACTGCCATCATCACCTTGTGACACTAGGTATATCAAAATGGGACAAGTCTAATGTCCTGAAGTCACAATAGTGGCTAACATTACAGAGTACGTGTCCTCTTCCAGGCACTGTACTAAGTTACTTTTTTTGATTCTTACAATAATCTTAAGTACTTTTGTTTCCCTGTTCTCCTAAAGTAGTCGACGCCAAAAGAGATTAGCTTGACAAGGTTGCATAGTGGACAAATGGGATTTAAAACCAGCAGTCTGACTCCAGAGCTACATTTGTAATCTGTATTTTTATCTTTTCATTGTTGTTATATGATATGTCTGTTTAGCTCAGGTTCAGCAGACTTCCCAAACTCATTTTGGCCGTAAAATAGAACTACAATATTTGGTTGTGTATCTCAATGGAAGCTGGATTCCCAGGCCACCACAGGCCACTGTCAAGGATCACCTTATTGGTGACACTCTTTTGTCATACCATAGACAGTATACCAACTGACTTTTTGTTTTCAATTTCAGGAAGCCAGCAAACTGTGAATTCAGGAGAAACCAAATGCCATTTCCAAGTAGATCCTCTTCAGAGCCAGCATTTGTTTGGCCCCTTTGTAGGAGAAAGGGAAGATGTTTCCTTCAAGCCTTCCCAAGACATCACCCTTGTGAGCCCACAAGGGCACAGTACACGGGCTGTAACTCCAGTAGGCCAAAGCTGCAGTGAATCTGCCCAAAGAGAAGAAATCCCAAGTCTCCCTGGTTTGCAGGAAGTTCCGTCCTGGAAGAATGCTCGGCACCCTTGCGCTATCTGCGGGGAGAGCTTTTGGAAGAAGAACCATTTAGTAAGTCACCAGAGGAGACACTGGAAGGACCCGCCTCATAGCGCGTGGAAGAAATTCAGCAGGCGAGCTGATACGCAGCCACACACAGCTGCCACGAGGGCACAGAGGCACTTCCCATGCCCCCAGTGTGGTAGGCGCTTCCGCCGGAAGCAGTGTTTGCTGAGACATCTGGTTGCCCATATGGGGACGAGCCCATTCCAGTCCCCTGAATGTAAAATGTATTTGCGGCAGGAGCGAACCCTTCTCAGCCACTGCCGCATGCTTAAGGAGGAGAAGCCTTCCCAGCACCCCAAATACAACAAGCGCCTTCTCCCAATGGACAATACACAGGCTCACCGGTGCCAACAGGATGGGGAGAGGCTGGCCTCCTGGCAAGAAGGCCTGGGTGCCTTCACCACCAGTGTGCACTCAGGACAGAAGACACTGTGCCTGGACTATGACCCACAGGCTCTGCCCCTGGGCCGTGGCACAGAGAAGCCCTGCGCATGCGTGGAGTGTAGACCCTTCCCTGCAAGGTCCATGCCTGCCAGCCACTTCAGGATGCAGGTGGGAGAAAAGCCCTTCCAGTGCCCAGACAGGGACAAGCGCTTCCACCTGAGTGGCCTGCTGCAGGTCCACCAGCGTGTGCACAGTGGAGAGCGACCCTTGTCCTGCGGGAAGTGTGGCAAGGGATTCACCAAGCAGTGTAGACTCATAGAGCACATCCGGGTCCACAGTGGGGAGAAGCCTTTCTGGTGTGCCGAGTGTGGCAGGAATTTCCGTCAGAGGGGGCAACTGCTGAGGCACCGGCGGCTGCACACGGACGAGAAGCCCTTTCAGTGTCCGGAGTGTGCTCTGAGCTTCCGCCTGAAGAGCATGCTCACCGCCCACCGGCTCCAGCATGGCGGGGAAAGGCCATTCTCTTGCGGCGAGTGTGGCCGGGGCTTTACCCACCAGTGTAAGCTCCGGGAGCACCTGAGAGTGCACAGTGGGGAGAGGCCCTTCCAGTGCCCGGAGTGTGACAAGAGGTTCCGCCTGAAGGGCATCCTGAAGGCCCACCAGCGCACCCACAGCAAGGAGAGGCCCTTCTCCTGCGGAGAGTGTGGCAAGGGCTTCACCAGACAGTCCAAGCTCACGGAGCACTTCCGCGTGCACAGCGGGGAGAGGCCCTTCCAGTGCCCGGAATGCAGCAGGAGCTTCCGCCTGAAGGGGCAGCTGCTCAGCCACCAGCGCCTGCACACCGGGGAGAGGCCGTTCCAGTGCCCCGAGTGCGGCAAGAGCTATCGTGTGAAGGCCGACATGAAGGCCCACCAGCTGCTGCACGGCGGGGAGATGCCATTCTCTTGTGAGTGTGGCAAGGGCTTTGCTAAGCAGTCTAAACTTGTGGAACATATCAGGACACACACGGGAGAGAAGCCTTTTCAGTGTCTGAAATGTGACAAGAGTTTCCGCTTGAAGGCACAGCTGCTCAGCCACCAAGGCCTGCACACGGGAGAGCGGCCTTTCCACTGCCCTGAGTGTGATAAAAACTTCCGGGAAAGGGGACACATGGTCAGGCATCAGCGCATACACAGGCCTGAGAGGCCGTTTGCCTGTGACAAGTGTGGAAAGGGCTTCATTTATAAGTCTAAACTTGCTGAGCACATCAGAGTACACACGAAGTCCTGTCGTGCTCCAAATGAGCCCGACATTAAGAAAAGGCTTAGTCAACTGTTTGCGATGATAGAGGCTGATTGGAGTTGAGGTGGGCCAGGGCATGTGAAGTGCTGGGTGGAACTGATGTTTCTGGAATCCACAGCCAACAATAGCCAAACCTACTAGTAGACAGACTTTTAGGAGCAGGGGTCCTTCCTGGAGCAAGAGCAGAATACAATTTAGGAATATGAGAAACCACAAAGGATGTTCTGTGCCAAAACATTACCAATTAATATTTCTTGCCCTTTGATAAAAAGATATTTATTCTTGCCATCTTAACTGATAATTTTTGCCCAAATGCTAAGCCAGCTCTAAAATCTCATGATAGGTGCATAAGCATTTATTTAGTTAAATTATTCATTTCAGGTGTTCTTCTTTAATTACAAATGAATGTCTGCAGAAGTTCCAGTGATTGACCTCTTTATGACTTTCTCTCCAGCTATTCCTGTAAAACAATGGCCTATGTATTCCAGCTCTGTCAGGGTATAAATCTGCTTTTTTACAGCATTTGTTAACTTTCAAGAGGACCAGGAAGTTGAGCACAGTGGCTAGAGCTCAGGAGTTGGAGACCAGTCTGAGCAAGAGCAAGACCCAGCTTTCCTAAAAATGGAAAAATTAGCAAGCATAGTGGTGGTTGCCTATAGTCCAAATTACTCGTGACACCAAGGCAGGACAATCGCTTGAGCCCAGGAGTTTGTGACCAGCTTGGGCAACAACATAGCAAGACCCTGTTTCAAAAACATTAATTAAAAAGAAGGGTTAGAATGAGAGAATTGGTGGTGGTGGTAGATGCTGCAAAGAGGTCAAGGATGTCGAATACTTTTGAGTGTGGCTAGTCGATTATTCTTAACCCAGAAATGAATTATTTTTATCAAAGCAAGTCTTACAAATTTAAGAAACTAAAGTTGCCCCTAAGCAGTAGGGGGCAGTCAGTGAGGTTAAGTCTCAGTCTGACAGTTGTCATCCTGGAATAGGGCACAAAGAAGAGAGACCACCATGGGAGTAGCCTGAGCAAGAGCAAGTCCTGGTCTCTAAAAATAGCCGTGCGTTGTGGTCCCAGCTACTTGAGAGGCTGAGGCAAGATCACTTGAGCCCAGGAGTTTGAAGTTCCTGTGAGCTGTGATGCCACGGCACTCTATGGAGGGATAAAAAGTAAAAACTCTAAAAAAAGAAAGGACCACTAAAGTTAACGAGCTGTCACTGGGTTAGCAGGGAGCAGAGGCCAGCTGCTGTAAGGTGGGGGAAATCTGGAGTGGAGGAAGCACAGCCTGCTATGTGAGCAGCTATAGCTCAGGTTGATAGTTACAGGAAGAAAAAACCTCAGAAGATAGTATAAAGTGGGCAGCACCTGTGCCACGGCACTCTCCAAAAAAAAGTATAAAGTGAAAGAATCAAAAGTGATGTTTTTCTTTAGAGATAGAGTCTCACTTTATCCCCCTTGGTAGAGTGGCATCACAGCTCACAGTAACCTCCAACTCTTGGGCTTAGGCGATTCTCTTGCCTCAGCCTCCCAGGTAGCTGGGACTACTGGCGCCTGCCACAAGGCCCAGCTATTTTTTTTGTTGCAGTTTTGCTGGGGCTGGGTTCAAACCCGCCACCCTTGGTATATGGGGCCAGCGCCCTACCCACTGAACCACAGGCACCGCCCCAAAAGTGATGATATTTAAGGATGAAAAGACATGATATCAGCTTAAGAAAATGAGCCAGCAGAAGGGAAATACTAGGTTATTAAATAGGAAATGTCCGGGTTGATGTGGTGGCTCATGCCTATAATCCTAGCACTCTGGGAGGCTGAGGTGGGTGGATTGTCTGAGCTCTCAAGTTTGAGACGAGCAAGAGCAAGACCCCATCTCTAAAAATAGCCAGGCATTATGGCAGACGTTTGTAGTCCCAACTACTGGGGAGGCTGAGACAAGAGAATTGCTTGAAAAGTTTGAGGTTGCTATGAGCTATGATGCCACGTTACTCTGCTAGGGGTGACAAAGTGAGATTGTCTAAATAAAAACCCCAGAAATGTCCAATTTCCTTAAATGCTAAGTTTGACAGTTGATATCTCTGACATTTCACTTTTGCTCTTTTTGTTTTGTTTTTAGTTGTGAAGGTACATTCTCATTCTTTCAAACCATCTTTTGGCTTGTGATTATCTTTGAAATTTTTAGAGCAAATTTTGTGAAACTGTGGATAAGTAAAAAATTCAGGCGTGGTGCCTATAGCTCAGCAGTTAGGGTGCCAGGCACATACACCAGAGCTGGCAGGTTCAAACCCTGTCCAGGCCTGCCAAGCAACAATGACAACTACAACCGTCGCTCGAGCCCAAGAATTTGAATTGCTGTGAGCTGTGATGCCACAGCACTTTACTGAGGGCAACATAATGAGACTCTCAAAAAAAGTGACAGACAGCCCTTTGTTTCCTGCATATTCTGTCAGGAGAGAGTCACTCAGACCAGGCAAGGGGACAGCACAGGATGAATACCAGGAGGGCAGGGCTCACCAGGAAGTATCATGGAGGCCGCCCACCACAACTGTGAAACAAGCGTTTTCATGCAGAAGGCAGAGAAGTTCATGTATGTCTCTTTGTCTCTGAAAAGGCAAAGGTGTTTACCACTTTTACCTCTGTGGGTAGAGGTGGTAAACAAATGCAGTAGGGAACTTAAGGAATGTGGTAAAGACCTCGTAAAGATACTGAGCAAAGTGGCAGAGGAACTTGACCAAGAGCATCATCTGGATATGAGAAAACAGTAACAAATATGGTTTTTTTTTATATTTTCTACTCATAGAAAGATTCACTTGTACCCTTGCAAGTTGAACCACAGAAGTGAACCCTCGAATCCCTCTCCCTCCCACCTCTCCCCCCTCCCTCCCCCCTCCCCATATCCTTAGGTTGTTATTAGGTTATAGCTTTCATATAAAAAGGTTTAAATTAGTTTCATAATAGGTGTGTGTACATTGGATACTTTTTCTTCCATTAACAAATATGGTTTTAAAAAAAAATCTCAGAGGCCATGGCCCAGTTAGGATGGGAACAGCTTGGTGCCAGTGAGCTTCCTTATTGAATCAAGTCCCAGTCATCAGACTGTCCTTTTGCTTTAGTAGGTATGGGAAACCTTCAGAGGCTTAAAAATACTTCTATTCCTTTAAAATAGTTCTATTCCTTCTTTTCACCTCCTTGAACATCACGGACCTACCTATCCAATGGCCTTTAAGTTCACATGTCTTTTTCAGTCCCTTTTACAGTTGAAGTGATATATGCACATGACAGTTAAAGAATGTAACGCACAGAAAGTTATCCCTCCCACCATCTTCTAGATTCAGGCTGGGAGGAGGAAAGGCTACCTATAATTTCACAATCTGAAAATGAAGTTGTAACTTCCTTATTCTATGAGAATGACTGATCGGGGTGGGGGGCAAACAGCCTCTTTCCTGCTGGATATGAAAGAGGAAGGATGCAGCTGTAAGAACTGCTGACCCAACTCCATGGAAGCGAAACTAGACAGGGAAACCTTGTTCTGCTCACGCTGATGGCACCCTGGATTAAGCTATGCCTCAGCTTACACATACTATACCGGTACTTGTCAGTTACATGAGAAATCTCAAATTAGCCCCCATTTTGTATCATCCAGTGCTTCTCTGCTCTCTCCCTCCCCAGGTACATCTGGGTTCTGTTCTTAAGACTCAACTGGCCAGGCTTTCCCACATCCAATTCCTGGCCGCTGAGTTGTGCTCACTAGCACCACCACCCACCACCCCACCACCCCCAAATTCCTTGCTTACAGCTGGTGGGAGAAATAGCTAAGCTTCCCTGGACAGGTTTTTTCTCTCTCTACTTACTGCTTTTGCTTATCCCCTCACCCGACCTGAACTCTCCCACCCAGCCCTCCTGAAGACTTTTGTCTCAGCTCATCAACTCTAATTTTTTACTGCACTGGGTCTTTTCATGTCAAATTTTTGCTTTGTCATTATTCTAATAACCTGTAATCCTAGCACTCTGGGAGGCTGAGGTGGGTGGGTTGTTGAGAATGTTTTCTGGGCAGCATGGAAATGGATTCTAGGTGGGTCTTTTTTTTTTTTTTTTTGAGATAGAGCCTCAAGCTGTCTCCCTGGGTAGTGTGCTGTGGCATCACAGCTCACAGCAACCTCCAACTCCTGGGCTCAAGCGAGTCTCCTGCCTTAGCCTCCCAAGTAACTGGGAACAGGCACCCGCCACAACACCCGGCTATTTTTTGGTTGCAGCCGTCATTGTTGTTTGGTGGGCCCGGGTGGATTTGAACCCACCATCTTAGGTGTGTGTGGCTGGCACCTTAGCCACTTGAGCCAGAGGCACAGAGCCAGGTGAGTCTTTTGTGTAGACACAAGTTATACCTCCTGGGGTGCCCGCCAAGCCCAGTGTCACTCACTCTGGGAAGCCTCCTGCACACACTGCAAAAGGCTGGGACACTCGCGCCCTCTCCCTGTCTCTGCAGCGAGATCTGTGCATCTGCAACCCTAAACCTAGGCTCAGAGCTGCTGTCCTGACCCGCTCAGAACCTCTCCAATGCACTTTTTTGTTCTGAGAAGCAGGGCACAAAATGTCGCTCTAGAGCCAGACTGCCTGGGTTTGGATCACAGCTCTGTTACTTCCTGTTATGTGACCTTGAGCAAGCTCTGGGCTGTAGTTTCCTCATTTATAATGGGAATAATACCTGTTATGGTTGTTGGGAAAATTCAATGGGCTATGTACATTAAAGCATTTGAATAAAGTTCAGCCAGCTATTATTAGCTCTCTGATGGTGTGCTTTAGCATTGCCACTTACATGTGACAAGGACACTCAGCATGTCTCCTCCAGCAGCAGCTGGACATAGGATTTTCTCTTTAGCCAAGCTTTAGAAGTATTTGTGTAGTAGACACCTTTTTGTGCAATACTCACTAGTCTGCCTATTCTGTGTACAGTGCGGACTGGCTTTTCTCAACTTCCATCCCATGTCTCATCTGACCATTGCAAATGCTTTTCTCCACCCTCTCTCCCACTGGGGATATCTGTGAATAAGAGAAAGAACCAGCATAGTTAAACTGAATCAGCCTGAGAGGACCTACGGGTAGTGAGGGAAAGCCACTGTTAGAAGCATCCTGTAAATGACCCATGTGGTTCAACAAGGGACACCTGGGAGTTGGCTTCATCCACACAGGGAAATTTTCATGATTAAATGAAGGAAACTAATGAATAAAAATATTGTTGCCAGGCTCAGCACCCACAGCTCAGCGGCTAGGGTGCTGGCCACATACACTAGGGCTGGCGGGTTCAAACCCAG